GAAAGAAAGATTTTGTCTGCAAAGGAAAGCAGAAGGTTTAGAGGCGTATTCTACATGACTCTATAAAGCACCTTTATAAAAGGTTTACCGAAGAAAATGATTTTAAAATCAGTTACGCAACTTTTGCAGGCTCAAGGCCAATTTGTGTCACCTTCCCAAAGGCACAAGACGGAGAAACATGTTCATGTATGAAACATGAGAATTTTGAGTTCCTCGTCACTGCTCTAAAAAAAAGGAAACATTATAAAAGAAAGCAATAGCCATCATGTTTTAAGACAAATTGTTTGTTCAGTATAAAACTAGAAATGCATGCTAGGCCTATGTAGAACATGCAAGTCTAAAGAGATAGTTTTTGCCATGACAGAAGATGAAAAGTACTAATAAAGTACTAATAAGTACTAAAGTAAGTACCAGTAATAGCAAGTAGGTATCGTAAGTACTATTAAGTTGAATAAAGTACTTCAAGTGGGTACAAATTACGGAAGTCAGAATTATTAAGGGAAGGTGAAGAAAGTGAAGAGGGTAGTAAAAAAAGAAGAAAATGCTCTTGGGTCAGAAGTTTTTAATACATTCCAAAATGTGTTGCCCGTGTAAAAGAATCATGTTTATAGCATGCTCCATAAAGCGGATTAGCTTCATAATCTAAAAAAAAACCTAAAGGAGGGAGAACTTTTACTTCTAGTAGATTTCTCGAAAAATTACGTTGCTAAGTGTGCTACAGAAGTTCAGGCCATGCATTTTGGGGCTTCAAAGAAGAAAATTTCCCTACACTTTGGGGTTTGAGCCCATCTGCGACCTGTTTTGGAGGATCTAGCTGTGGAATTCCGTTACACAACCACAGTGCATATTTTTTCTGATGGCCCGTCGTCCCAATGTCGGAACAAAAACCTATTCCTAATGAGAACTTTGTTACCGGTTTACTTCAAGTATCTTAAGACATTCACCTGGAACTATTCCGAGCCAGATCATGGGGAAGGCTCCATGGACGGTGTTGGGGGATCCATCAAAAGATGCGCTGACTCCAAAGTCAGATATGGAAGAGACATAACGTCTGTTGCTGACCTTGTTAATGCATTAACAAATGAAACAAGTATACAACTGTATGAAGTCTCCCATGATGAGGTCGAAGTAGCAAAAAAGCTATTGCCAAACAACCTGCCTGTTGTTAAAGGCAACAAATGCAGCAAATCGAGAAACATGCTTGTGCAAAATTTATGAAAGCTTTTCTTTCATGGTCAAAAAACTTAAGAAGTGTAATTTAATTGAAGAAAACTCTACATCACAAATAATTAACAGTTTGTGCTGTAAAGAAAACAAAGACATCTGTTTGGAAAGAACCTGTAATTCCTGTCTTAAAAAAGATATAAAGACTCTGGAAACTGAAGATGATACAGAACATGTTAGTTATGAAAAGTGGGTTACCAAGAAAATCCTCATTGTTGTGAAGAAAGTTGAAAGGCTTAGCTTAAAAACTTTTAAAACCACCGTGACATGTACAAAAAAAGACTTAGTTAAGGCGTTTAAAGAGTACTTACCAAAAATCATGATACACACGGCAAACATCAACCAACAGTATAGATTTTTGGTTACCATCAAGAAGGAGCTTAAATGTGATGAGATTTTTATTCATATGGATTTCTCGGAAAACTATGAATGCAAATATACTAGCGAAATTCAATCCATCCACTTTGGAGGGTCTAAGCCTCTACACACTGTAGTAGTTTACTACTGTGATCAATTGAGTGGGGAGCACAGGCACAAATCCTTTGTCACCCTTTCTGACTGCAACCTACATAGTGCAGTGGCAATTGAGGCCTATTCCGAAAAAAGGGCACATAGGCCTATGTGCCCTTTTTCCGGAAAGTAGCTCAAACGAACCGCCATATTGTACTGTGTAACCACAGTCAATTTTGTTTAGTTATCTCAACAGTTGGCTCCCTGGCATATTTTTTCCTAACAATGTGTACAGCTGATTTTTCACACAATCCAGTGCAGTGTGAGATAACCTCATTTTCAGTACATTCTACATGACTCTTCTTATGTTTGTTGTGATATATTATTTTTAGTGTGTTTTTCACCATGGAAAGCCCAAGTGAACCACAGTATAAACGTCGAAAAATAGTTTACAGCTCTACGAACTTAAAAGTTAAAGAGGCAAAAGTTAAACGAGTTCGTGGAGAAACATATAAAAACTCAAGTAATGTTGAAGTACCAGCTAAAGTGTTTAGTGCAGTTGATCATTGCTGTAAAGATAAGTGTTTTGAGAATTTTTCTATACAACGCCAACACAGTCTGTTTGATTTATTTTATGGTGGACAAGGTAAGCCCCTTCAAGATTCTTATTTGGCATCGCTTTTAACAAAAGCTGAAAATACCAAGGTTAGTACTGACCAAAAGAAGCCAAGACTGCACACATGGGAATATTGTGTTAAGGATGGTGGTATGTCTACCAAGGTTTACCAAAAGTTTATCCTCGGTTTGTTTAAAATATCAGTTAAACGCATATGAGTCATTCAGGGGAAGTTGTTGGAGGACGTTGGATTCGAAGAGAGACGAGGATCGCATGACAATCGCCCACATAAATTGAAAGGTAATGTTCTAGAGCTAATGGGAAAGCATCTAAATATGTTTCCAAGTGACTACTACTCATTATACTCAGTATACTCATTATTGTGGGCATAAATCAAAACTACGATACTTTGAAAATCCAAACTTATCCATCAAAACGTTGTTTGAAATGTTCCAAGAATACTATCGTGAAAGTACAGGTTAAGCCCTTCGTCTTTCTTATGTAAAGTACTTTAAAATGTTTAAGGAGAATTTCCATTATGGATTTACTAGACCAAAAACTGACATTTGTGACTTTTGTGCTGAATGTAAAGAAAAACTTGAACGAGACCCAAACGACCCACGCAAAGTGCATCTTCAAGTGCACGAAAGACGATTTCAACAACGTAAACAGCTGAAAAATGAGTACATATCAAAGGTAAAGTTAAGCGAGAATGAAACCCCTGATCACCTTGTTTTAGAATTTGATTATGGACAGAACTATCCGATTCCTCGCCTAAATGTAAACTCTCAGTTTTACAAGCGAATGCTCTGGCTGTACGTTTTTAACGTGCATGTTTACAATGATGACTCATCCTACTTTTACTGTCATATGGAAACCCATTCTAGTAAGAATGGAAATTCTGTAGTTTCTTTCTTGCATGATTGTTTGGTGAAAAACTTGGCAAAATTTCCAAATACCAAAACTATTGTATTACTTAGTGATGCTAATGGTGGCCAAAACCGAAACACAACAATGACTAAGTTTTGCAACTGGTTTGCAAAGGTAACGAGCCCATCTCTATCATTGAAAATAATGAAATTGTTTCTCTGGTGCCTCTGCTTATTAATAAACGAGGACAGTACTTGTTTGAAATCAACAAAAAAGACATTCAAATCAACTAGAGCCTAGAGTTCAAGCTAGAGTTAGTTTCAATGATTTTTTTTCAATTTTTAAATACTTCTATGTTAATACTGTGACCATTAAATACACTTTTATAAATTTGAGTGTTTTTATTTAATTTACTTTACATAATTTTATTATTTTTGTTATACAATTGCTATAAAAATTGAGAGAATATGGTTCAAATATCAACTCCGTGGTCCATATGCAATCAACTCCGTGGACAAGCAAATTATTCAAAATACAATAAATCTTTGAAAATGAGTCTACGATCTCAGCCACTATGTTGGTTATGTCTCTGAAGGTATAAAGAAACATTTACACTGGCTTTTGATTTTTTTCATGAATAAAAACTTTTTTTTTCAAGAAATTCTTATTTGTACATTAATTTGAAAATGACCCTAGTATTTACTATTTTTTTAGACTTTTAAAAAGTTAGCGACTTGATGTTGTTTTTGAAGTCGATAAGACAAATATTTGTAAAAAAATATACATTTAAGCTCAGCTAAGGTTGGTGATATATAATTTAACACTTTGTTAATCATTTGGTCAATAAATTATGTACTTTACCAAAATAACATTTTTATTTTTTTGTTTTCATTTTCCCTCTCAATTTGATATTCACCTATAAACTCAACAAACCCAGTTGAAATATTTCACAGTATTTTTTATGATGTTCTGTTGAAGAAAATGGTAAAATGGACTGATAAACAAGCAACAGGTGTTTTTTGTATTCCATGACCAAAGCGTAGCCACTCTAAGTTGTGGACGCCAGTTACTGAAAACGAAATGAAACAGTTTTAAGGCATATGCCTATTGATGGGGAATTTAAATATAAACAAGTCATGACAAAGGTAACTTTTACTGTTGCATGGTAGTATGACAACAGTTAGACCGGGTTCTGCCACCTTAGCTGTTTAAATTCAAGTATCCTTTGCTAATAATAGTAGTTGCCCAAGTGAGCTACAACCAATCTTGGGCACTGATTAACGTTTAGGTTTCTGATCAACTTGATAATATAGTTGGGTAGTAATATGTTACTTTGTTTTCATCATTATTGGCTGGTCTGCGCTATTTATTTTTCTTTTTTTCTTTGGAAGGATCTTGTATAGATATATCTTGCTTTTATATACATTCACCTTGGCAATCTGCGTATTTTATTGAATTTTTGTGGTAGTTTTCTGGACTTACTGGAACAGTTGAAGACCACTACTATTTTAACTTGATTTTGAGTTTACATCCATAGATTAAACATTTCTAAATCTCCAAAACCGTCAATTGAACCTCCCTAGGTTGTTCAAAGTCTAAGATAGCCAAGTGGATGACTGGGAAATGGATAATTAGCCCATACCAACAGAACAACAACCGATGAAAACTTGGAAAAGACAGCAAAATAATGTTATATAATCTTAATCTTTACATATTAATTGGCTCCTGCAATGTCACTTTTATAATCAAGATGAGCGTTTAGAACTTTGGATGATTTTTCCAAAGATCCTCTACATATTCAAACTTGACTCTGCCTGCTGACTATTCAGTGTTTTTACAGGTCCTTTAACAGTTTGGGTCTGAAAGGCAACTTCAGTTTAGCTGAGATGCATAGTTGGGTGAGTCATTGTCTGCCAGAAGTGCCAGAGAAACCCCCCTTGGAGGATAAAGTCTCTTACATCTTTACTTCTACTCTGATGCATTCCATGCTACATTGCACATACAGGTCTGCAAGTGTAATTTGCTACATGATATATCAAATTTCAGTCACAAGACCTTAGTTCAAAGTATCACAGTATTAATTAAATAAATTTTAATGTAGTTCATGATAAAACTATGACACATATAATGCCCAATTTTAACATAGTCGGATCACTAGTGTTTTTTTTTTTTTTTTTTAATAAAGCCTAATAATTAAAACAATGATTAGAATGTAAGGCAACATGCAAATTTCAGTTGTTCACTGGTGATTTTGTACTTTTTGTACTATTTTTGTACTTTGACTTTGGAAGACATATTTAAAGGGGGTTATTGGGAAATGGAACAATCTCCTTATCTAAATAAATTTTCCCTTGCGATTTTGGTTAATATTAAAGTTCGGTCACATTTGAAAGATCTGGACCATTCTGTATTTTACTATGCATTAGGCCTATCTTTATCTACAGCTTGTAGACAGAAGTTGATCATGAACTCGTGTTTAATTACCAGCGTTAACAATGTCTAATAAATTCCATGTTGATGGCCCCTGGATTACTATGAATGACTATAATATTATGGTATAATTACCTCGTCAAGTAATCCAAATGTTTATGATGTGAGATTAAAAATCTACATGTTTCACTGTTAATACGGCATCGTCAGGGTACAAACACATAAAAGACATTAATGTCACACGCACACAATAAATAAATAACTTGATGCCGTATTACGGTGAAACATGTAGGTTTTTAACTTCACATCATCAACATTTGGATTACTTGACGAGGTAATTATACCACAATATTATAGTTAACAATGTCTGCTATAGATCAACCCAGTGTGTTTTCACTTTATAAAACAATATAATACAGACATGCTTTCTATAACTTAACGTAAATATTTATATTTAGCAAAAGGCACAATTTTTAAACACTAACTGAATATTTTTATACAGCAAAGGAGAGGCAGAATTTCGCTCTGACAATGTCTCGACAATCTGCATTCTGAAAGATTTTATCACCAAAGAAGCGACCAAGAAAAAAATCAAGCTTGAGATATCTATTGGTAAGAAAAGTCCCTAATTAAAACTTTCTAAAAACAACCTTTTTATAAAGTGGTGATGTTCTTTAAAAACTTTGTTGTTTCTTAATAAATTATATTAATCTAAAGTTAATACTCGAGGAACTCTAAAAATTAAAACAAAAAAAGCATTGAGTCTCTAAAGTTCATTTTATTAATGTTCTATCTGATTACACTTGTTGTCTGCTACCATGGCCTCCTCTAATCAATGCCACAGAACCTCCCTATTGAAACAGCTGTTGCACTATTTCGTAATGGAGGGTGTGTGCAATGTTTATATTTTTACACTTTCTCTTTTGATGTAATCAAGGAAATCTTTGCTACAGATATTTAGTTGCCTAGATGTGTAAACTTCTCTTCACAGAAATACAGCAGCGTTGTCAAATCAGGAATCAAAAATTTTAAGAGAACTAACTGCATTGCTGTTATCAGTGCCTAGTTAAAAGAAGTTTTGTAATTTACATGTTCAGGGAGTTACATCAGAAAAATTAAATTTTCAAATTCATTTTGTGAATTAATATCCAAGACCAACAAGTATGCAAAAAAAAAGTACCCTAGTCTAAAAAAAAATTTAAGAGTGAAAGAGCGAACACAAAAAAGTATAATACCGTTAGTATTCATGCGATATTATAAACAGGATAGGCCTAGTTAATTATAAAAATGAAAGTCTGAATATAAGTTCTTCTATAGAGCTTATACATAACCGGTGGGCATAACCGTCACTTGGTGTACACCCCCAAAATGGGGGATTTTGGGGGAAACTCAAACATTTCAAATACAAAGACCCATCGAGTGACCCCTCATTTTGAAGGTCCTGGTAAAAGAAAACCATAAACGCAAACTAGAGGTCTTTATCTCAATCCAGTAAAAAATGGCAGCCAATTGAAATTCTAAGAAATTGAATTTAACTTACAGCTTTCCAAGTCTGGAGACCCCCTGTAAATTTTGTAGCGGCTCACACTAGGAAAACTAAACTCTACACACCTTTTTGGCATGTTATGAAGTACTTTTTAAGCCTAATAGCCACTTGCTTACCAAACCCAAAATGGGGGATTTTGGGGGAAACTCAAAAGTTTTAAATGATAAGCCCCATCGAGTGACCCCTCATTTTGAAGGTCCTGGTAAAAGAAAACTAACAACGCAAACTAGGGGTTTCTATCTCAATCCAGTAAAAAATGGAAGCTGATTGCAATCTTTAGAAATCGGAAATAACTTGCAATTTTAAATTCAATTGGCTGCCATATTTTACTGTGTTAAGATAGAGACCTATAGTTTGCGTTTTTTATTATGACCTTCAAAATGAGGGGTCACTCAATGGGGCTTATCATTTAAAATTTTTGAGTTTCCCCCAAAATCCCCCATTTTGGGTTTGGGAACTTATGAGAATTTCAATTGGCTGCCATTTTGTACTGAACTGAGATAGAGACCTCTAGTTTACATTGTTGGTTTTCTTTTACCAGGTCCTTCAAAATGAGGGGTCACTCGATGGGTGTTTGTATTTGAAATCTTTTAGTTTCCCCCAAAATCTCCCATTTTGGGGATGAACATCAAGTGGTGGTTATGCCCAAAAAGTACTTCATAACATGCCATAATGGTGTGCCGAGTTTAGTTTTTCTAGTATGGGCCGTTAAAAAAATTACAGGGGTCTCCACACTTTTTACTAACCCTGTATATTTAGGTGTTTATATTGTGATTCATTAACTAATTTAACTTTTGTACAGTAAAACCCCTCTCGTCCGCCGCTCCGGTTAATACGACCGAGCTCAAGCTCGCATACTTGTCCAGACGCGTCAGTGACTCATTTTCTGTCGCGCGCCACTTGCCGTTTTGCATCTGATTCCATGCTTCGTCATCTCTCTTATAGTTTCTGCTGATTTTTGTGTATCACTGTACTGTAGTGTATTTCGTGGTGTACTGTGCAGTTTTTTGTTTACCGTGTACTGTACTGTGTGTTATTTTTCCGACAGTATTCTTCTGTAAGCCTACATATTTTTATTTTCCTTTTATGTGTTTTCAACATGACAGGAGTGTAACGTAAACACATCACCCTTTCATTATATGACAAATTAGCAGTGCATAAGTTAAAAGACTGGATAAAGGTGAATCGTTCCAAAAAATTGCCAAGGAACTCAATATAGGCGTTACGACAATAAAAGACTGGCGTAAAAATCGGAAACATAATGAATGGTAGTAAACCGGGGCTACTTGGGTCAAGGGGGCTACTTGGGCCAATAATGTAGGGAATTTAAAAATTGAGTGTGTGGTACCCCTGCTTAGAGTTTTCACAGTTCTTACAGATGTTACAAGATGCATGCTGAGATGTACTGCAGTTTTTTTTACGAGCCTTGCTGGAGTGAAGACAATGGTTTATGCTTTGTTTACATCCTACTATCCTCCTTTATTTACTTCGATGACTTAAACGCACTGCCAGTCTATATTCTTTGTTAGCTGGTATTACCACACGTACCCGAGATTTCGTAGTAGCTACGTTCATCTTAAGATTACGTGAATCTTAGTATGTCAAGCAAATCATGGATTATTCTATTTTTTTATACATATTCATAGAACATTTTACAATTTCATTTTTTTTTCAGGATTTAATTTAATTTTTCATAGAATTTATTGAGGTAGTATTTTCAGGTTTTTAAAACAATGGTGAAAAAAGTTTCATACCAGGCATTATGGGAAAATTGATTTTTCATGGGTGAAAGAAAGTCGTATAAAGGGTTATGCAACATGCTTGATCTGCAAGAAGGACAACATTTTCTTTGGGTCCATGGGCATGGCATGCGTTAAAAAGCCACAAACAAGGTAAAAAGCACAAGGAACTAGAAAAAACTATTAATTAACTATGCCTATCAAAACTTGGCTTTCTTCAAGTCAGTCCACTACTGGATTAAATTTAGCAACTACTACAAACCAGCAACAAACTCCCTCTCAACCTTATACTTTGGGTTCCTCATCCATGACAGTCTCCGCATCGACTTCAACAACTACACCTCAACAACAAACATTCTCTCAACCTAATACTTCGTCAATTGTATCACCTACAACTCACAGCTTGTCGGCAACACCCCTACCTTCATCACATTCTAAAGCATCTGAATTAAAAAAAAAAAAAAAATTGTGGCTAGCTAAAGACATTGTAACAAAGGTAGAGATCTTGTAGTGTGCTCACACTTGCCTTAGTCACCAATCTCTAAGAAATGCAGAGGCTGGGGTTAACTTATTCAAAGTTATGTTTCCTGACAGCAACACTGCTTTGGATATGAAACTTGGTGAAGACAAAATTTCATACTCTATTGTCTACAGTCTTGTCCCCTTTTTTAGAAATCATCTTTTGAAAAACATCAATAATTCAGACTATTACGTAATTGGTTTTGATGAATCGCTGAACAAATATTCTCAGAATCAACAACTAGACATAGTCATTCGATTTTGGAATGGAAACACTGATGAAGTTTCAATATCTTTCATCTGTTTTTTTGACTCAGGCGAAATCTACTGATTTATTGACTGCCATAAAAGAAGGGCTCTCAGGACTTGATTGGAGAAAGATTGTTCAAGTTTCACAATGGGCGGTCCCAATGTCAATATCAAACTTCTTCGGTTGCTGAAGAAGGAAATTGAAGACAGTAGTAGTGACAACCACAACTTGTTGGACATTGGTAGTTGTTAGCTCCATGTTTTAAATGTTGCTTTTAAGACAGGAATCCAGAAGACTGGATGGAACGTGATTGAATTTTTAAGAGCATGTTACTATTTGTTTAAGGACTGCCCTAGTCGTCGAGGGTTGTACATTAAAGTGACAAGTGACGATTCAAATCTGAAATATTCCCCTTGAAGTTCTGCAGCATAAGGTGGCTGGAGAACTCAGCTGTTACTAAGCTAGCACTCGATGTTCTGGACAGTTTGAGGAAATATGTGGGATATGTTGAGAAAGACAACACCCATAAAGCAACTCAATCCTCCAAGAGTTTCAAAACGGTGAAGAGGTGTCTGGAAGACAAACTCTTTAGAGCTAAGCTAGCCTTCTTCCTCTTGCTAGCTGAGGATGTAGAGCCGTTTCTCAGACAGTTTCAGCAGACTCTCCTATGGCTCCCTTTATCTATGGCGATTTGTTGGCCTTACTCACAAGTTTGATGGGAAAGGTACTAAAAAAAGAAGTTATGAATAGCCAAGCAGTAGAGTCAAAAGACATCTCAAAACCAGAAAAGACTGTGGCATCTTCATCCTATGGTTTGCTGAGCTGCTTGCCAGAAAGCAACCCATCCCGCACGCTCCCTTGGAGTTGGATACAAAGTGGTGGCGTACCCACATAGAGGAGACCCTGACAAAGCAAAATTTGGGGAAAGTGAGTCTACAAGGAGAAGTACCTATAGACCTGTCCGGTTGGGAATGGATGGATGAGGCAGCCAAAGTCAGTGCACCTTCTCTCTCACCGGCTATGGACTTTGACACCCTGCTGGAGGCCCTGGGCAAAGCCTGCAACACCTCCATCGACCCGAAGCACGCATTGCAGTCTGGGGAAGAGGATTGGGTGAAGGTAATCGAGGACGCCCTAGTCGACGTAGTTGAGCGGGATCCACTGCCTCCACCAGTCGTTGTTACTTTACCTGCCTCCCCGTGCTTGTCAGTCCAGGCGTCAGAAGCGCTTCTGGAAGACATGAACTGTACAGCCACCTCGGAGCAAGAAGAGGCTACGACCAGCACTGTCCCGGACGGACCCCACATGGTCACTCCAAGGGAGGAGCCGTCGACGTTCCGGCCCAGAAGGTGGCGGCGGAGGAATACGAAGCGAACCATTTACCTGCCCAACAGCACCAAACTGCGAGTGCCCAGAAATCTTTTGCTAGGATGTCATTTTTGTTTTTAGGTAATGTTTGTCGTTTTTGAACAATGTTTTTTTTTACTTAAGTCTTTCTGGTTTTGTTAACAAGGAGTATTAAATGGTGTTACATATTTGCATATGGTAGTGTAAGATC